TGCAATGACATTTTCGTTATTAACACAAACTTATATGTATCGGTTCACTAGGAACTGAAGCCTATGACATATATTGCCTTGGTTATATAACAAACTGAAGTATAAAATCCTCTGTAATTCCACCTATCCTTTGTAACTCGGACTGGCAACTTTTTTGTAAAAGCCCTACCACATTGATTTTGCTCTGAATCGTGGCCTAAAGGGGATACTGTCTCGGTTTCTAGGCCAATCGAGGCAGAAAACTCTGCATATTCCACCACCAAGTCAGACCTTACAATTGACAAAAGTTTGAATGGGACATACTGCTTCGGCTACTTGTAGAACCGAGGCAGTAGGTCCTGTCAGCTGTTGACAATCTCTAAAATTAAACGTTATAATCCATTTTGTCGACCTCTACTGTCTCGATTTTCTTCGAACCGATGTCATTGGTTATTTATGTTTCGATTTACCCTCCAACCGAGGCATACAAGTTTATTTAGAATTTTTTTTAACTCTTAAGGCATTGGTTGGCAGTAGAACCGAGTTAGTAGAGTGCTTACTGCCTCGGTTATTTATGGAACCGAGGTAGTAGCTCTTTCACTAGTTCAAATTACAAAAACATAAAAAGAGTTAACAATTCTTCTTCTTCCCCTAGCGTGCTACATCCCCCTTCTTCTTCTTCCCCTAGCATGACCTCCCCCTACAATTGGGCGAACCTCCACCACCAAACGCGAAGTGCTCCTAACATGTCCTCCATTTCTTTTGCACAAATAACTCTCCACTTTGCAATCTCCATTTCTATTTCTCTCGTGGGTTGGCCATTGTTGTCTTCTCGCTACGTCCACCGTTGTGCCGCCACAGTTCGTCTACCACTGTTGCCTCCATTTTCTCCGGCGAAGTGTTGTCCAAGTTGGATGGCTCCATTTCTCGTGCGATCTGCAGGGGTATTCTCTCCAAGCGCTGCCTTCGCCATCGTCCTCGTCGCTTCACTGTCGCAGCCATGCGTCGCTGCCACGGTAAGTTGTTAAAAACCCTTTACATTTTGATTTGTCTATGATTGATATATTGTATTTGATGTAGTATTTGATTGATATTGGTTAAACATTATATGTATTATTTGATCTGTATAAAAAAAGTTAGATAATTATATATTGATTCGACATTATTTTTGGCATTAGAATCTAACTAAATTAGATATAGATTAAAAAACCGGTGTTAGGGTAATGTTTTTCATATAATTAAGATGGACTACTATAGGGTTCAAAACTGAAATCTTGTGTAATTTAATGTAAATTAAATTAGAATATAAAGGAAAAACAAAATGAAAAGTGATATTTTGATTAATTCTTTAGCATATCAAGAGGACATAACTGAAAGGAACCTTTGATTCCCTTATTTTAGATAATTATTCATAGTATTAACGTAAGTGAAAACAATTTAAACACTTAAGGTAAAGAACCTAAAAGCTTATTCAGTAGAAGTTGGTGTTATTTTAAATATACAAGAGAACAACTACGAAACAATATCCGAAGTGAAGCTGACTTCCTTCTGAATCTATTTATTGTAAATATGGGATTATTAGGATATAAATATCCTAGTATCTGTGTAGTAATTAGGAACAAAATATGCTTAGAATCTTAATATTCATTCTATCAAATTTACTTTTGAAAATAAATTATGTAATTATTTATTTGTTTGAATACATTGTTGCTTTAATATATTATTTACTTGAATATATTGTATGTTGCATCTGTAATTATTTGTTTGTTTGAATATATTCTTGTTTTGAATTAGCCTTAGTTTCCCGTTCGAGATTCAATACCAAAATTATTTACTATCTTCAATTTTTTTTAACAAATGTACTTTTTACAAATGAATAGAAAGGAGATAGTAATAATAAATTACAAGTATTGAATCTTGAATTGTCCAATTGGACAGTTTAAGAAGGCTAATAATTTTTTCATAATTTATTAATATATATAAATATTAACATACATGTATTAAATTTCATGAAAATTTGCAGTTGTGTTTTGTATTGGTATTCGGGTGCATATTTGATTGTGGTTTGCAATCACTTTCATTTCGTGTAACCTGAAGACCAATGCGAGATGCTGAAAAAATTTCGTGAAATTTTAGATATGTTGTTTAAAATTTATATGTTTAATAAACTATAAAAAGTGAATCTTCTTGAATGGGATAGGGTCACACCTTGAATACAAAAGTGGTCATTCAAGACGATTAAAATTGTGTAAAGAATTTCAGTAAATATGCATACAGATCGACATTGGATTAGTTTACCACGCACCAACGCTGAGTACGAGAGAGGGATAGAAGAATTTATACAGTTTACGTAACATAATGATAATACAAGTGTCAATGAAGTCAAGTTTAGATGTCCTTGTGTCAACTGTTTGAATGGGAGGAAGTTGAACGCAACCAATATTAAGAAATATCTTATTTGTGATGGTTTCGTAAGAAGTTATATAACATAGATCTAACACGGCGAATTAATAGACTTTCCAACTCTCTCTCCAACTGAAAATGTATTCGATTCCACCATAATAGATCGACCGGAAGAAGACAAATTAGAGGACATGATCTGCGATGTTGGCGCATAAGCTTTTTCCCAAGCGCATGTGTATGAAACGATGTCCACTGATGTAGAGACTCCTTTGTATGTCGGTTCAACTAAGTTCACACAGTTGTCAGCGGTGTTAAGGCTCATGAATTTAAAGGCGACCAATGGATGGATTGATAAGAGTTTTACAGAATTGTTGCTACTGTTGAATGAAATGTTGTCAAATGAAAATACATTACTCACTCATAATTATGATGCAAAAAAAATTCTTTGTCTGATGGGTATGGAGTATAAATGGATACGTGCATGTTCAAATGATTGCATATTATATATGAAAGAGTATGAAGTTTTGACAAAGTGTCTAAAATGTGGGTTATTACGATAGAAGTCAAAAAACAATAGTAAAGATAATGGTCACACAGAAAAAAATGGGTCTGCTTTGAAATTAGTTTGGTACCTTTCACTCGTGCGTAGACTTAAGCGTTTGTTTGCAAATCCAAAAGACGCTAAAAATATTATATGACATGCAAATGAGAGAACAACTGACGGAATGCTTTGTCATCCAGCTGATTCAAAGCAATGGAAAAATATTAATTAACAATTCCCCCAATTTGGTGAAGAATGTAGAAATATTAGGTTTGATTTAGCTACTGATGAACTCATTTGGTAATTTAAGTACCAATCACAATTGTTGGCTCGTTATACTGATAATTTACAACTTATCCCCTGGATTTTGCTTGAAAAGAAAGTATATGATGTTGTTAATGCTTATATTTAGTCCTTAGCAACCTGAAAATAACATAGATGTTTATCTCAGCCCATTAGTTGAAAACTTAAAGTTGTTGTAGGTTGATGGGATTGAAAATTTGATGTTTTCGCTATCATTTCCCTTTACTGCATAGTGCTTCTTTTGATGCCACTATGTCTACATTCACATCATATGAACTTATTTGAGTTGGTATGATGTTTGCTCTATGTTTCATCTAATGTAGACACTAATGCAACATATGCAAATGATGTAACCTATGATAACACAGTGTCTTGTGATGACTCCACAATTCAAGAAGAAGAAATGACCCATGTATATGTATAAATGATCTTCATCTTCTCTTCAACCGTCAAAAAAACATTTTAATGACGTTCTAGATTATGACTTTGTGCAAATAGAATATGCTTTTGAGGATGACGAGGCTCGTACTCTTAGCAAACCTTATAACATCCCATATTATATATATATATATATATATATATAATCTATATATATATATATATATATATTCTATAATATATTTATTTAGTTATTGTAAAAAAATCCTTAAATATCAACTAATTTTAAAGAAGAAAATAATTTGTCATTATATATAGTGATTAATTTAGATATAAATTTATGAACTTAAAATTATTGGTATTTAGTTAATTAGTAATCAATTTACTTAATAATTTTTTAATGACAAAACTTTGATAGTTAATGTTAGTGACTAATTTAAAATTTAATTAACAAATCAATTATAATTTTTTATTAATAATAAAAATTATTTTAGATACCAATAATTATAAATTTATAAATTATTCTAAGTTAATCACTATAATGATTAATTGTTTTTATCTATAAAATTAGTTACTATTTAAGAATTGTTTTTAGTAATATATCAAACAAATTAAGCGAGAATAATTTAAATAAAAGACAAACGCAAAAACCTAAACACATATTCTTTAAAAATTAATTAACTATATCCAAAATGAATTTCTTAGGTAATCTCCCACTACATTTCCAACATAATTTATTTAAGAGATCATTACAATCATAACCAACAATGAAAATATCAGAAGTCCATAATTTAGAACAATAAATATAAATATTTATAAGAAAATCACCGACACATACAAAATTCAACTAGCATAATTATATTTATTCTTATAATTAGTTGTTTTGTGACTAAGAATCTCAACACAATCCCTTTGAAAGATATTCCACACACAACCAAATCAAAATCACAAACACAATATGTTATTCTCATATAAAAATTATAAACTCACTTTAATAATAAAACTTTTTCACTTAATACATTTTCCAAAATATTATATATATATATATATATATATATATAATTTTTGGAAAATTAACCTTAATACTCCCAACCAAATATAATATATATATTAACTATTATATATATAGTATATATTAATATATAATTGTATAGTATATTAACCACAAACCAATTTATATTGACAACAACAGTAATTAGCACAATTAAAAACAGCTAATATTATCTGAAATTCAAATTAATAACTTAAAAATGAAAAAAAAGTTTTTTAATATTTTTTTGTAAAAAACAAAAGGTTATTTGATTTTGATTGCGTGAGGGAGAAACATGTAATAATGGTAGAAAGTGTAGGAGCGCTTCTAATAGGTGGTTAAAGCTCACATAGTTTGCATGCTTCTTACTTCAAAATTAAGATAAGGGACCCACTGCTGACTCCAAACAGAATGTAACAATCCAAACCCAATTAAAATATCGAATTGGAAACATCAAGGTAGTTTTACAAACATAGTTTTTATT